ATGCGATACGAGAAATCTGACGGCTGAAAACACGTGAAAAACAGCTCGAAACGTCAACCATTTTTGAATAAGAATATAAAAAACTTGGCGACTGTTCAACCTATTATTTAATTTTGTTGTTTTAACTATATTTGTCTTATTATATAATTATAAAAACGATATGTAACGTCGTCAGAAATTGTTACTACAAAACTATCATTTTAAAGAATTAATTAAAAACCTGTAACGTCGTGTTTAAAAACAACAACAAACTATCAAACGATTGAAACAAATCAAACGTTTTATGATTCAAATTGTTCAGTAGGTGTCGCTTTTGAACCAAAACATCCTTTCTCACATTTCACAACGCGACCAACGTTTTACTTAAAGTCAACTTACTTAAACTGCTCCTTTTCTTTCTAATTCACCTACCCGAGCTAACACGATAAACAATCACGAACTGATGTCATCAAAACCTCTAATAGCACGCGCTGCTTCATTAGTTACGACAGAAATAACGATGAATAAGGCAGGACTGTAAAACTCTTCAACCCCCTAACCCCCATTCCAACCGACGGAATGCCCTTCAATCGTGCAAGAGAGGATGTTGGGTCGACATCCTAGCCATCACAATTCCAAAGCGTTGAATCATCTTTCCTTTATTCTATCCCGCCAAATTATAATATTACAGCCTTTTGAATGTGTATTTATTATTTGAGAAAAACCGGTTCAATTTGTTAAATAAAGAACCAGATTAATATCGATATCACTAAATAATGAGGCTTCACTCGATATTCTCTGTTCAATAAATAATGGTTCCGTTTGTTGAGCATAGAACCAGACTCACCTGGGTCTTACTAGATACTGTCACTAAAAACTGGTTCTGTTTGTTGTTCTATTTTCTGTGTGGGAATGTCAATCGTAGATAACTAACAAACCGTACATTGACGCGTTGTTCTGTCATGTAAAAAAATTATACAAGAGTTAATCAAAACTTTAAATCTGTAAAATATCAAATATGCGCATGCGCAGCCCATAGTCATAAAAAATCAATTCAGATAAAGTATTAAAAAAGTTTGAACAGGATTTTCAGATTTCTCCCTCATAAAAAATATTTTAATTGAAACATCACACATGAGCGGAATTTGGGACCAAAATGTGGGGAGGAAGGAAAAAAAGTGTTTTAAGTTTTAATTATTGTGAATGACTGTATCCAACAAATGCCTTCCCCTCCGTAATCCCTCTCGTGCATACACATGCAACAACACGGTACTGCCTTGTACCAGGCACTGTTCTCAATACCGCATGGTCCACAGTTTTCAGTCAGCTTTTTATCCAACTTTATACTGTAATAATAAAAGACAAATTCTGGCCTATGTATTACACATCATATGACGTGACAATTCACGTCTACGTAAATAAGTACCATCTAAACATATCATTTGTGAATTAGCAGCAACAAGACAGAACAGCATAAATCAGACAGTGACTACAGTCTAATGTAGCAGCAACAAGATTGAACAGCATAAATCAGACAGTGACTACAGTCTAATGTAGCAGCAACAAGATTGAACAGCATAAATCAGACAGTGACTACAGTCTAATGTAGCAGCAACAAGATTGAACAGCATAAATCAGACAGTGACTACAGTCTAAGGTAGCAGCAACAAGATTGAACAGCATAAATCAGACAGTGACTACAGTCTAAGGTAGCAGCAACAAGACTTGAACAGCATAAATCAGACAGTGACTACAGTCTAAGGTAGCAGCAACAAGACTGAACAGAGTGCAGTGTTCATAAGATAGTA